TCCCCACCTTTCCCCGCCGGCCAGTGAGCTGTGGTGTGGGAGGCTGGAACTCTCACGGGAAGAACTGACTTGCCTGCTAAAGACGGTCTGTGAGGCGTCCAAAGCGCTGCCAGCATTTCCAATTTATTTCTAGGGAGGGGGGAAAAAATGGACACATATGTAATACCCTTTGTAATAAAAAATAAAAAAATAAAAAATAAATAATAAAATAAAATAAAAACAAAAAAAAACTTCTTTATCTTTATGACAAGCAGACAGAACTTGAAACCAGAAGCCTAGGCTAAACTGCCACAGACAGGTAGTTAAGGGTGCATCTTCCTTCATGTCTGTATTTCAAAGAGATGGGTCCAAAGCCCTAAGAAAGACTTTACTTCCGTGAAATACTGGCAGAGGGTATTAAGCTTTGAAAAAGATTTATAAGCATCTCAAGGGGACAAGGAAAGCATTTACAATGACAGGTTTTTCTCAAGGAAATGTTCTAAGAAAAGGAAGGGGTGGAACAATGTCTGAATGGCACAACATACCTAAGTATCACTGCTGATCAAGTTCATCCTATCATGTTGATGGCGTATCCCAATGGAGATGGCTTCTTCCAACAAGACAATGCGCCATGCCACGGTGCTCCCATTGTACAGGAGTGGTTTCAAGAACGTGAGGGAGACTTTACCTTGCTTAAGCGGCCCCCACAATCACCAGATCTCAATCCAATTGACCATTTGTGGGACGAAGTTAAAAGAGCCATTAGGCAGCTGGTACCACAACCATCAAATCTCACAGAACTGGACAGTGCTATTCATCAGGCATGGTGTCAGATTCCTCACAGCACATTTCAACATCTCGTGGAGTCAATGTAACTCTATTAGAAAAGTAATATCATTATCCTGACCTTACAAATTACATAATTGAGGTACCTAGAGGTCAAGTGACCTACCCACAGTCACAGAGTAGGAGGTGGAGCCAGCATTTGAATTTACAGAGTCTGACACGACCCTTGAGTGTGGCTCTTCCACAAAATACCGACTTCTGCGCATGGGCCACGAAGTTTCAATCGCACTGTATGTGCCTGCCCGCACGTGGTATTTTGTGGAAGAGCCACACTCAAGGGGCCAGAGCAGTGAAGCCTGACGGCCCCGGTCGGAACCCGGCCAGAGCGAAGGCCTCGGTCCCAGGTGCCAGAGGCAAACCGGTGCCAGCAGCCGGGGGGAGAAAAGGCCTATTGCACGAATCTCTTCATGCAACAGGCCTCTAGTATATATATAATTTACATTCCGATGCACAAAATTCATGCAAGAGTAGGCCTTCCTTCCCCCGGTTGCTGGCATTGGCT